CTAGCCGGGTAATGAAACGTTTGCAAGAAAAGAACCAAGCTCAGAGAACCCCAAGGAGTCCCCAGTTCAACCCTGAGCTACACATATTCGCCTCTATTGATAAAAAATAAAGTCTCCCTTCCTGTCTAAGGCGAGCTTTATAATGACAGGAGCTCCAAAGGCCAAGGTTTTTAATCCTCAGATTCCTAGATAGACCAAAAAAAAAATGGCATAGCTCCCACACTGAAAGCCTTCTTGACTTAAATGAAGTCATCCTCCTGGAAGGGCAGATAGAGGCTGTGGCCAGCGAGGCCCTTGCCCAGCTGATGTGCCAGTTGCAGCCCTGTTGGGAGCAGGAGGACCTTGTGACAGTGATTCAAGCTTCTTCATTGCAGTGGCAGCTGGATGGCATACATGGATGGATGGATGGATGGATGAATTGAATGTATACCCTGCCACTGTCAACCGACTCTCAGCAGCTTACAACATATAGAACACAATAACAATTAAAACATCAGTAAAATACAAACATAAGTAACAGTACAAATAAAGGTAAATAAAATAACAAAACTGGTGCAATACATTAAGTCAAGAAAGTAAAGAAAATGCCCTTCAGAATAATTCAGATCTCTAAGGCAGTGTTGTCCAAACATGGCCACTTCAGTGCAAAGTGACGCCACCACAGAAAAGTGCTGTATGCTCTTGGCTCCCTTCCCCTCCAGAAAGTGTGGAACCATCAGCAGTTGCTCCTTACAAGACCTAAAGAGTCAGGCTGATTCTGATGGGAGAGGGTGGTCCTGCAGGTACCCAAAGCTGCCACGTTGCCCCTTAAATTGTACCTAGAAACTGAATGGTAACCAGTGCAGCGCCCACAAAATTGGTGTTCTCTGCTCCCATCACTGGGAATTGGCAAGTGCATAGGCTGCTGCAGTTTCCATATAGTTTTTAAGGGCGGTCCCATGTACAGTACATTGCAGTAGTTCAGCCAGGTGGTGATGAGGGCATGAATGACTATAACCAGGCCCTTCTGCACCAGATAAGGTTGCAATTGGTACATATCTGGCTATTGATGTAAAGGTCCTGATCACATCCTGTAATACTCTTTATGGTGTTTGCTTGAAGAAGCATTCAGAAATTTCACTTGGTTCCAAGTGAGATACCACCTTGGCTCCTGGAGTCCTCTGAGGATGGTGTTACTCCAGTTTGATTTCATCTGCACTGCCTTCCAGTCTATTTCCAGACACAACTCAAAATGCAGAACTTTCTAACATCTTCAGTCTGAAACAAAGATATTAAGAGGCCTGTTTTCTGACATGACCCTTTCATTTGTGTCCATAAAAATACAATGTTTAGGGATTTGGGAAGGGGTGTTTTAGAATTTGTAGAATTGTTGTAGAATTTTGTTGTGTCGTGTTGTAGAATTTCCTCCCTAAGAAGTTTGGGCCCAGACCTCTCTTCTCTTAGGTTTTTGCCAGGTGGCTGAAACATTTGATTTCCATCAAGCTTTAGGTATGGGCTAAAGACTTCCTCCCTGCTTAATTCCAAGTTACGACCTTCTAGCCTTGATGTTATTATATGGTATTGCTGTGAGACTGAGGTTCAGGCCTGGACTTTTCCAGTAGGCCATTTTGACTTTCCTTTTATAAAGAGAAGTGGAACATAAATATCTAACTAAGCTCAGAGCTGTAAGTCTTCTACTATGAAGATGATGGATGCTGCCCTGGGGACAACTCTGATATTGCTGTGTTAGCTCTGGTTTCCTGCAGATACCCAGGTGTATTTGAGAGCCCTAAATCCCCCGAACTGGCTTTTTCTTAAGTATTTGTCTAAGGTGAGAGTGGACTTCGGGCTGGTACATTTTTGGTGGGTTGAAAGGATGCTGTTCTCTTTGGTGGGCATGCTGGTTTTTTATTGATGGTTTTAAACCGCTGAGACCTGAATGTCGGCAGGGCAGGAATGTCTCTTCTTGATTAGCCCATATTGAGATGGCTCTGGACTCTGGCATCTCTGCTGAGTGTTGCGGGAGGCAGAGGTGGCTTTGGCTGAGCTCACTGGTCCTCTTCACTTCCTTGGGGTGGAGGGGTCTCCTCTGTTGCTGCTTCACACAGAGTGGGGTAAAGGGATGAGATTCCGCTTGTGCTTAATAGCGTTGCTAAAACAATGTGTGTTTGCTTGGCAGATGTCATGGCGGCCACAGTATCGCAGTTCCAAGTTTCGAAATGTCTATGGCAAAGTGGCCAATCGAGAGCACTGCTTTGATGGGATTCCGATTACCAGGAACGTCCATGACAACCATTTCTGCGCAGTCAATACCAGATTCCTTGCCATAGTAACCGAGAGTGCTGGTGGGGGCTCTTTCCTGGTCATTCCACTGGAACAAGTAAGTGACTCTTTGCTGAAGTATTCGTACTGGAACAGCTCTTGATTCCTCTTAGTTCGTTGGCATTTCAGCATGGGAGAGAAACTTCTTTTGCTCTCTCCTCCATTTGCCGGCCGCATCTACGGCAGGAAAGCTCTCTCCACATAAAAATGGTACCGCTATCATGGGGCTAAAATGAAGAGTGGCTCCCTCTGATTTCCTGCAAAGAACCACCTTGGGCTTTTCTTAAGATACTGGTGTGAATGTAAAAAATGACCCTTGAAAGTCTAAGACATAATTGTTTAAATAGCAAGCCATTGATCAGAAACTTCAGAAGTGGGGCAGTGAAAACTGGCCAAAATGTTTGTTCATGATAAAATGCTCCCAGGTGACTTGGTTGAAGTGTTCTCACTATTTGCTCTACTTGTTCAAAGGGTGCAGCTGGGGTGGGGGTGGGGGTGGCTGCCGCTGTAGAAGGTGGCTAAACTTACTGTAGGTTGCAGATGAACTCTGGCTACTTCTCTTTCCTTGTATTGTGAGATGAGCTTATGTTCTGAAATGAAGCTGCAGGCACCCGCAGGCAGTATCTAATGCTGATCGTTCAGCAGAATCTAATGGTAGGGTAGGAACAGCATTGAAGAGTTTGCCAGGGAACCAACAACGTTGGGCTTTGTTGGGTGTGTTCATGTTATTGTAGAGTTGGAAGTAATCTCAAAGATCATTTAGACTAACTTCCTGCTCAGTGCAGAGTCTGGAATGCTCTTTGATTTGAGGGTTGTGCTTGAGGTCCTCAAAGACCCGTCCAACTCTAGGTTTCTACAGTTTTAGATACAGCTTTTCTTGCCAACCTGGAGTAGACAGGGGAGGAGGTTAAACCATAGTAATTCCCACCCCTGTGCTGAAGGGAGAAGGCAGTGGGGTATGCATGACAATACTATCTGTAATGAGCAATGATGTTGTAGTGGTATATTCCAGGATTCTTTGTAGGGTCTTCAGCTCTCCAGATGGTTCCTTCAGCCCAGTGGAAGATCATTTTTTCAGGGTTCTTTTCCTAGTCAAAATCTCATCCTTCCTACATCCCAGGGTCCTTAAGAAGGATGAAAAAGATAATTTGCTGTGTAGCTTTGACTGGGATCAGTTTCCAAACTCACAAAAATTAAAATGATGACCAAATACACGAGGCCAGCATTTTTTTAAAAAATGTAGATGTTTCCACTGATTGCCTCCCCTCCCACAGTTGGCTTGAAAAGTTTGAAATTGGTGCATGAATGATGAGAGCTTTGCTTGTTCCATAGCTGAAGAGCAGAAAGGAGTATGCAACACATTTAAAAAGGGACAGGCCTTCAATGTCATCCACCATCTTGATTTTTTTGACCCCTTGCAGATGCCCCTGGAGATACTCCTAGCTTTTACCTCCTGACTTGCTGATAATTTATTAAGTTGACATTAGCAAACGCAAAACATCTCCTTGCGTTGTTAGGTAGCATGTGAACTATGTAAGGAATATAATAGAGCATCTCCCCCACGCTCCCCAAAAAGAAAGAAGAGGAAAAAAGCCTTGGGAACTGACCTTGAGTAAAAGATTTCTTTGTGGAAGGGATGAATCATACAGGGTGGGGGTGGGGCACAACAAATAGCCAGTCGAGCCAAGTCGCTGCCTGAATGCTGGGCAAAAATAGGGGAATGGAACAGAGAAGACACGGTTGGATGGCGGCCTTCCATAGAAGATCTCTTGCTGTAGCAACCACTTGCAGTGCGATGCTCTTCAGGCCGCTTTAGGCGGCTACCCCCGTCTCAGCCTAACCTGAGGATGCTTGTGAATATAACATAAGGCACAGATGCCACACTGAGTGCCTACTTGAAAGGTGGGATTTAAATGGAGTGAATGAATGAATGAATGAATGAATGAATGAATGAATGAATGAATGAATGAATGACACGGGTTTGATACTTTTTGATACGCTTTGATAGATTTCTTAACCTAGACGTTTGCTCTGCCGAGTCAACTCCTTGTTCACCTTGTTCAGGATCGTCTGTGACCGGACTGCCTTTCTTGACAGGCTGAAAGAAGTCCTTTCCTATCATCTGCCGGGGCCAGCCCTATCATTAGATGGCAGCGCAGGTCTGAGCTGGGCTGAACTCCCATCCACTGTCCCTTCAGTCTGCTGCCCAAAGTAGCTGCTCCATGGCACCTAAACTGCAACTCTCTGGAGTGGGTCGGTGCCCCTAACCAGCAGACTTTCGATGGGTGTCCCACCATGCATCACTGTGTCTACTAGGAGGGGCCATGGGGCTGGCTGCCCAGCAGATGGTGACATCACTGGTGCCAGGAAGGAGTCCTCAGGAGACTTCAGGGCTACCCTGTCACCTGCTACTTTTAGCTCAAGCTGCCTGGGCTGATACTATGTCCTGTACGCTGAGTGGCCCCTGAATCTCCAAGCGGGGCCTTGGGGGCTGGGGCTGCTTGCTTTCATGCGCTTGGAATTTCCACTCTCTGCAGGTGATCCTGGACTGTGTTGGCTTGATGCTATGTGGAGTATAAGAGTTGTAGTGCAACACACTTGGAGGGCACTAGGTTGGAGAAGCAAGTCTTAGGCCATTAGTGAGCACCAACACTGTATCTGAGCTGCCAGATTCTGTGCCTGCAATTCTGTGCAAGTCACGGCAGGTAAATATTTACCCCTTCCCGATAAAGTGGGGAAGACTCCTCCCGCAATGCTGGACAGCCACTGACCATTATGACCGGCTCCTTTGGGCCGAGAACCGAGGGAGGAAAAGGTGTTTCTGAAGTCAGTGGTTGGGGAAAGTGACCACATCTTTAGGCCTTTTTGTAATTAATGGGTGAACTGGGAACGTGAAATGAGTTTCTTTCCTTTGCAATTGATTGGAGCCTCTTGAAGTGAGTAGCTTTCTAATTAATATGTTCTATATTTAGCAGAAATAAATTAAGGTAACCTAGAAACTACTGAAAAGAGCAGATTAAACTCAGGAGTCTTACTTCCTTGCCATTATATTCTTGCTGGCTTTTATGAAAATGACTCCCCTCACCTCCCCCTTCCCCGCCTCAGACCAGTATATTTCTTTCCCTTGAGGGAATATGTTCTCCTGCCAAGAGATCAGAAATCTTCGCTACTTGTGATTTTTTTGAAAAATCCTGGCTTCCATGTTCTGATCAGAAGCTAAGAAACACCCACTCAGCACGTCGCAAGCCAAGTACAGAGATATTTTAAAAGACAAAGCTCCTGCAAGAATCCTGTCTGCGCGAGGGCTGCCACTTCCTCCACGAAGGCAGGGCCAGGCAAGGATGAGGGCAAAGGACCCAGCCCACTGCAAAGCCTCCTGCACATAAGGAGCGTGGCCTCAGTCAGGCAAGAACATGGTGCAGCCTCTCAGCAGGCAGAGCTCAGATTTGTGGAAAGTCTTTCTTTCTTTCTTTGGAAAACATATGCCCTGCATCTTAAATGCATGACTCAAACAAGCAATATCCATCCATCCATCCATCCATCCATCCATCCATCCATCCATCCATCCATCCATCCATCCATCCATCCATCC